CTGGCAACAAGTTGGAGAAGAGATCCCTCCCATAAATGGGACATCAAAAATCAAATCCCAATTACAACATTACAACATGAAACCCCAAATAATGCATCCAGCTCAGGTTAACACAGAGACTGCACCACTGTACCCCTCAAGACACTTTTTTCATTAGGCCAATCCACTGATACTGGGAGGCATAACCATTATACCTAATACATAGAAGAAAATACAGAGACTGGCTAAAATGGGGAACAAAGAAACAAACCACAAATGAGAGAAAAGAAGGAATCTCCAAAAAAAAAAAATAATAACTAAATGAGATGTAGACAAGCAAACTCTCAGACACAGACTTCAAAGCAATGGTTATAAAGATGCTTAAGGAACTTAGTGGAAATTACAGCAGCGTAAAAAGGGTAATAGAAAACATGAACCAGACAAAAAAAATGAAGAATAACATATCTAACATAAAAATACACTGGAAGGCATTAAAAGTAGTTTGGATAGAGTAGAGAATTGAACCACTTATTTGGAAGACAAGGTAGAAATAAATACCCAATTAGAGCAGAAAATAGAGAGAAGAATGAAAAAGCAGGAAGATAGCTTAAGGGAGCACTGGGATAACATGAAACATAACAGAATGACATCTGCATTATGGAAATACCAGATGAGGAAGAGGGTGAGAAAAGAACAGAGCATATGTTTAAAGAAATAATGACAGGAAACTTTCTCAACCTTGGTGAAGAAAAATGTCACGCATGTTCAGGAGGTACAGAGTCCCATTCAAGATGAACGCAAAGAAATCCAACAACTAGACACATCATAATCAAAATGGCAAATGTTAAAGATAAAGAAAGACTCTTAAATGAAGCAAGAGAGAGACAGGAAATTATCTACAAAGGAGTTCCCATTAGAATGCCAGCTGATTTCTCAATAAAAACACTTCAGGAAAGAAGGGAATGGCAAGAAGTATTCAAAGTAATGAAAAGCAAGGGTGTAAATCCAGAACTACTATAAGCAGCATGGTTATCATTTAAAATTTAAGGTGAAATAAAAAGTTTTCCAGACAAAAAAAAGTTAAAGGAGTACAATACCACGAAACCAGCAATGCAAGAAATGTTAAAGGGATTGTTTAAAAAGAAGAAGAAGAAAAGGAGAAAGGATCATACACATAAAGAAAATAGCAATGGCAGTAAATAAATACTACCAATAATAACGTTAAGTGTAAATGCATTAAATGCTCTAGTCAAAACACATAGGGTGATTGAATGGATAAAAAAACAAGACCCATATATATGCTGTCTACAAGAGACCCACCTCAGAACAAAAGATACACACAAGCTGAGAGTGAAAGAAGGGAAAAATATATTCCATGCAAATGTAAAGGAAAAAAAAAAAAAAGAAGGGGTAGCAATGCTCATAAAACAAAAATAGATTTCAAAGCAAAGGCCATAACAAGAGAAAAAGAAGGTCACTTCATAATACTAAAGGGAATGATTCAGTAAGAAAATATAACTATTGTAAAGATGTATGCACCCAGTATAGGAGCACCCAAGTTCATAAAAACAAAAACAAAAAACTCTTGATGGAGTTTAAGGGAGAGATTGAGAGAAATACAGTCATAGTAGGGGATTTCAAAACCACACTGACACCACTGGTTAGATATTCCAGACAAAAAAATGAACTAGGAAACAGAGGCTTTAAATGACACACTAGATTATATGTATCTAATATATATTTAAAGAACATTTCACCACAAAGCAACAAAATATAAATTCTCCTCAAGCACACATGGAATATTTTAAAATATAAACCAAATGTTAGGACACAAAATGAGTACATGTATTGAAAAAAAAATGGATATAATACCAAGCACCTTCTTAAACAACAATGGCATGAAAAAAACTCAGAAATACTCAAATACATGGAGGCTAAATAGCATGTTATTAAATAATGAATTGGTTATTAATGAGATCAAGCAAGGAATTGAAAATGTCCTGGAAACAAATGAAAATGAACACAAAACTACACAATACCTATGGGACATGGTGAAAGCAGTCTGGAGAGGGAAGTTCATAGCACTACAGGCCTACCTCAAAAAATAAGAAAAAGTACTAATAAAACTATTTAATCCTACAACTAAATGAATTAGAAGAGAACAGCAAGAAAAGCTCAGAGAAGGTAGAAGGAAGGAAATAATAAAGATTGGAGCAGAAATAAATGACATAGAGAATTAAGAACAGTATAAAAGATTAATTAATCCAAGAGCTGGTTGTTGTTGTTTTTTTGTTTTTTTGTTTTTTTATCAATCTTTACTGTTCATATTATTACAAAGTTTCCTCATTTCTTCCCCTCTCCACCAGGTTCCCATCCCACCCTCTGCCCTTTCCCCACCCTCCATTGTCCTCATCCATAGGTGCACAGTTTATGTTCAGTCTCTTCCCACATCCACCACTCCCCTTTTCCCCTGAGAATTGTCAGTCCACTCCCCTCCCGTATCTCTGATTCTATTATAATCAATAGTTAATATTGTTCATCAGGTTTTTTAATTTCCTTTTTTTAATTAATAAACTTTTATATTTTTAAGAATAAATTTTAAAATCTAATAATTTTAAACCTTGTTTTTTCTGCCCTGGGAACTGAGAAGCAAGCTTGTTTACATGTAAACTTGCCCTTGGGCTATCAAAAGGCATAGCCATTCAAATGTAAATGAACACATTTTTTAAAGATAGCTGCTGGCTGGAATTGGATTACCTGTTCTGGGTGGGAAGGGCTTGTCCTCCCCTTTCTCCATTAAAATTAAGGTGTTAGCTTTACAACCTCTTTTTGGCAAGAGACCTTAAACTTTCAGAGCTTTAAATTTTTCAGGTAGTAAATCAATGACTTAGCATTTTCTCAAATCAATAATACCCATGCCCAAGGATACACTTCACACAAAAGACACTTCCAAATAGATCAACCAACCTCATCCAGACCCCACACAAGGCACTTACAGATCAACACCCCAGCACTACAACTCAACACATCCAGATCTAAGCCTTCATCACTTGATTCAGCAGATCCTCAAGTTCCCTCAAAAGTTTCCAGCCATGTCTGAGAAGCAGCCCTGGGGCATGGGCAGACGAGGAGCGAGCTGTTTCTGGCCAGGCTGCTCCAGGCCTGGCCTCTGTTGCTCCGGGCCACTCCACAACCAGCTGCTCCGGGTCTGGCCGCTGCTGCTTGGGGCCCGGTTGCTACCGCTCCGGGCCTGGATGCTGCTGCTCCAGGCCCGTCTGCTCCCGGCCTGGCTTCTCTGGGCCTGGCCACTGCTGCTCCGAGCCCGGCTGCTCAGGGTCCAGCCTCTCCGGGGCTGGCCGCTCCTGGCCTGGCTGTTCCAGGCCTGGCTGCTCCTGGCCTGGCTGCTGCTACTCTGGGCCCGGCTGCTTCAGGCCCAGCCTCTCTGGGCCTGGCTGCTCTGGGCCTGGCTGCTGCTGCTCCGGGCCTGGATGCTCCCGACCCAGCTGCTCTGGGCCCGGCCTCTCCGGGCCTGGCCGCTCCCGGCTGGCTGCTCCGGGGCTGGCTGCTGCTGCTCCCTACCCAGCTGCTCTAGGTCCAGCTGCTCTGGGCCTGGCCACTCCAGGCCTCAAGAGCTGGTTTTTTGAAAACATAAATAATATTGATGAACCCTAGCCAGACTCATCAAGAAACAAAAGAGAAGACCCAAATAAATCAAGCAAGAAATTAAAGAGGAAATAAAACAATGGACTCCATAAATACAAAGGATTGTAAGCAAATACTGAAGACAACAATACTATGCCAACAAACTGGACAAGTTGGCCAAAATGAACAAATTTCTAGAAACATACAGTCTTTCAAACTCAACAAGAAAGAATGAAAAAAAAAACAGATAACAACTGATGAAATTGAAGCAGTAATTTTAAAACTCTCAGCAAACCAAAGTTCTAGACTGGATGGATTTACTAGAATATTTTACCAAACATTCAAAGAACTAATATATATCCTCAAACTATTCCAAAAAAAATTCAAGATGAAGGAACCCTTCCAAGCTCTTTTTATGAGGCCAGCATTAACCTAATTACAACACTATATAAAGACACTACAAAGAAACTAAGTTACAGGCCAATATCCCTGATGAACACAGATGCTAAAATCCTCTAAAAATATTAATAAATTGGATCCGGCAATATATTAAGAAAATTATACACCATGATCAAGTGGGATTTATTCTAGGGATGCAAGGCTGATACAATATTTGCAAATCAATAAATGTGATTCATCCCATAAACATATATATATATATATATATATATATATATATATACACACACACACACACACACACACACACACACACACACACACACACACATATATATATATATATATATATATATATATATATATATATATATATATATATGCTTAATATGCAAATTGCCCCCTTGGGAGTTTGACCAGAAGACTGAGAGTTCAATCGCTGCTTGCTATGACATGCCCTAACCACCAGGGAGCAGTGAAGAACATGGCAGATGTTGGCAATGCAGCGCTGGCAGTCAGCATCAGTGGAGGCACTGCCAGCCTCAGTGGGTCCTGACAAGAGTGAGACTGTGGTGGGATGGTGTAACAGGTGAGTGGGTGGCACCAGGCCCAAGAAGGGTGACAGGTGGGGCTGCAGGACTGCAAGGCTGGGGGCATGAGCTGGGGCTTCAGGGACAAGATGGAGGCTGGACACACCCTGAAGTTCTCCTGCAGTCCCTTCTAAGCAGGCCAATTTCCAATGGTCCCTCCCCAGCCAGTCAGCCCCAATTGTACTTCTGCAGCTAAAAGAAATTGGCATTATCAACAGAAAATGTCTGAAGACCAACTATTGGCACAACATGCCTCTGCGACCAAAAGAAAGTGGCATCATCAACAGAATATGTCTGAAAAACTGTCATCAACAAGTACTACCAATACTGGTGGGAACTGCCTGTAAATGAAGTAAATGAGGATGCAATTATTGAACATACTGTGATGTAATGACTGTTACATGTCAATTTTGCCTATCACTAAATTTCTCCAATGAAAAACCATCTGATGAAAAATTACTGGATGTTGCAGCAAAGGTAAAGTTTATCCAAATAATATAAATTTTCCAGAATACCTGGCATATTATTAAAAATTAATGATAAATGAAGATTTTGACAGTAAAAATTTTATGGAAAATATTTGTTCCATAAATAGGTCTTTTGCTTTTGCTTCAATGGGTACAAATATCACATCACCATGAGGCTATGGATCATACTGTTTGAGAATACATGGTCGAGTTTATCACTGTACTGGAAATTTACATCCTTCAGATGATATTTCTCAGAAGTTTGCTCAACTTTACATTTTAAACACTGCTGAAGTGACAAGTAAAAGATTAGCAATGTCAGAAAACCAAGGTTGCTCAGAAAGATTCAGGATCAACATCAATAATCTCATGCATGAAATAAACAAATTAATAAAATCATACAGGATGCTCCACAAGATAGAAAAGGAAGCCCAATCTGAAGCAGAAGTGAAAGGTATTGCTCCAATAGAAGTAACAATGGCAATTAAATATAATCATAATAGTGATCTGGGTAGATATAATTATCCCCGTGTAACCAAAATTGCCATGATATTCAGAAATGAAGAGGGAGAACCTTCTTTGGAAAGGGACCTGTTCATTCATTGTAAACAAGATCCCAATAATCCAAATGCCACTAAAATTAAATAAATCAGTACTCTGTTTCCTACATTAGATGCACTAATGTATCCTATTCTTTTTCCACATGGTGAATAAGGCTGGGGAACAGATATTGCATCAAGACTCAGAGACAACAGTGTAATCAACAATAGTACCAGACAAAATGTAAGGACAGGAGTCACACAAATGCAATATTATGGATTTCATCTCTCTGTCTAGGACACACTCAATTTTATTTTAAATGCAAGAAAATTAACTCAGCAGTATATTGTTTATTCGTATTCAAAAATGGAAGCCAATCAGATCATTTTCATTAAAGCAAACCAATCTAAGTAGAGAGTTGAAAAGTATAGAGGTTTGATGGATTATCTCACATTTAGATCTGCAAATCACAGTGTGCCAGTTGGTAAAATTATCGATATAATACTTCCATCGTCTTTTGAAGGTAGTCCCAGAGATATGCAGCAGTGATATCAGGATGTTATGGCAATTGTAATGAAGTATGGCAAGCCCGATTTATTCATAACCATGAAATGCAACCCAAAATGGGCAGATATTACAAATAATTTACTATAGCGCTGACAAAAAGTTGAAAACAGACCTGATTTGGTAGCCAGGATTTTTAATATTAAGCTGAATGTTCTTATAAATTATATATGTAAATTCAATTTATTTGGTAAAGTTACAGTTAAAATTCATGTCATTGAATTTCAGGAACACGGACTCCCTCTTGCTCACATATTATTGCCATTAGATAATGAATCCAAATTATGAATGGAACATGACATTGACCATATAAGTTAATGTAGAAATTTCTAATGAATACCAGTGCCCTCTACTTTTTCAAATTATAAAATAAAATATTATGGAATACAAAATCCAATATTAAATATTAAAAGATTTCTTCCAATTATTTTCCTTTCGATGTGCACAAATCTGTGCACTGGGCCATTAATTGAAAGATAAAGGCCATGTGGTCATACTAATAGATTCAGAAAAAGCATACGACAAAATCCAGCACTCTTTTCTGATAAAAACTTTCAGTAAGATGTAAAGAGGGATCATGGCTCAATATAATAAAAGCCTTATATGAAAAACCTAAGCCCAGTATCATACTCACTGGGCAAAAATTGAAAGTGTTATCCTTAAAAACAGGAACAAGACAAGGATGTTTGCTTTTAGCAGTCTTATTCAACATTGTACTGGAAGTCTTTGCCACAGTAATTAGACAAGAAAAAGAAATAAAGGCATCAAAATTGGAAGATGACATGATATTGTACATAGAAAGTCCTAAAGATTTCACCAGGAAACTACTGAACTTAATAAAATAATTCAGCAAGGTAGCAGGATAAAAAAATCAACACCTAAAAATTGATGGCTTTTTATGCACTAATAATGAACTCTCTGAAAGATAAACTAAAAAGCAATCCCATTTACCACTGCTACAGTAAAAAAATAAGATACGTAGGAATAAACTTAAACAAGGAGGTAAAAGACCTATACTTGAAAAACTATAGAACAGTAAAAAAAAAAAAAAAAGAACTAGAGGAAGATACAAAAAAAAAAAAAAAAAAAAAAAGGAAATATACTCCATGTTCATGGATTGGGAAAATTAACACAATTAAAATGTATATACTACTCAAAGTAATCTATAGATTCAATGTAATTTCCATTAAAATATTAACACATAATTCACAAAAATCAGAACAAATAAACCAAAAATTTATATTGGAACAATAAAAGACCCTGAATAGTTGCAGCAATCTTGAGAAAGAAGTATGAAGTTGGAGGGATCACAATACCAGATATCAAACTATATTACAAAGCCATTATAATCCAAAAATCCAAGAACAGTAATATAGACCAATGGATCAAAGCAGAAAGCTCAGAAATTGACCCACATTATTATGGTTAATTAATGTTTGACAAAGTGGGCAAGAACATATAATAGTGTAAATACAGCTTTTTCAACAAAAGGAGTTGGGAAAACTAGGAATACACATGCAAAAAGATGAAAATAGACCACCAGCTTATAACATACACAATAATAAACTAAAAATGGATAAAAGACTTAAATGTAAGACATGAAACCATAAAAATTTTAGAATAAAACATACACAGTAAAATCTCAGGCATCTAAGGTAGCAGAATTTTTACAGATACATCTCCTATGGAAAATGAAATAAAGAAAACAATAAATAAATTGGACTATATCAAAATAAAAAGCTTTTGCACAGCAAAAGAAACCACCATCACAATGCAAAAGGGAGCCCACTGTATGGGAGAACATAGTTGCCTATTATACAATACATCTCATAAGGGTTTAATATCCAAAATATATAAAGCACTCATACAGCTCAACCAAAGAAAGACAACCCAATTACAAAATGGTCAGAATACCTGCATAGACATTTCTCCAAGGGGGTCATACAAATGGCCAAGAGACATATGTGAAAATTTTCCAAGTCCATAATCATCAGGAAAAAAATGGAAATTAAAACCACAATGGGATATCACCTCATACCTGTCAGACTAGCTATCATGAAAAAATCAACAAACATGCTGGTGAGGATGGGGGCAGGGGGAACACTAGTTCATTGCTGGTGGAAATGAAGATTGGTGCAGCCCCTGAGGAAAACAGTATGGAATTTCCTCAAAAAATTAAAAATGACAGTTCCATTTGACCTGCTTCTGGGAATATATCCTTAAACACACACACACACACACACACACACACACACACAAAAAAAAAAAAAAAAAAAAAAAAAAAAAAAAAAAAAAAAAAAAAAAAAAAAAGAAAGAAAGAAAGAAAGAAAAGGAAACCACCAATAAGAAAGAATATATGCACCTCTATCTTTATAGCAGTATTATTTACAATAGTCCAAGTTCCCATCAATAGATGAATGGATACAAAATGCTGTGGGACATTTACACAATGGAATACTATGAAGGTATAAAAAAGAGAGTCTTATCCTGTGTGATGGCATGAGTGTACTTAGATAATATTATTCTAAGTGAAATAAGCCAATCTGAGAAAGACAAATATCCCATGACTTCACTTGTTTGTGGATCAAATTAATGATCAAAATGAATTGATCAATAAAATACGACCGAAAGTATGAAGGCGTGGAAAAGACTGACATACCTTGATGTGGGGGTAGGGGAACAAGAAGAGATAAACCAAAGAACTTATCCTATATAATAAAAAGGTAATATGCAAATTGACCCTCACACCCTCACAAGATGGCTGCCTACAACCAGGTTGGTAAGGGGATTATTGAGGGAAAACAAAGCAACTGAATAAGCAGGCTGTGTGGGGCAACCAGGCCAGTAGGGAGGTTAGTGAGGGATTACCAAACAAGCTGGCTGCATGAAGTGACCAGGCCGATGGGGAGGGTGGTTGCATTTGGGGATGACCAGGCCAGCAGGGGGAAAAGTTGGGGGCAACCAGGCTGGCATAGGGGGGCAGTTGGGAGTGATTATTCTGGCAAGGGGTGCAGTGAGGGGCAACTAGGCCAGTGGGAGAGAGGCAGTTGGGGGCAACCAGGCCAGCAGGTGGGGCAGTAAGAGGCAACAAGGCCAGTGGGGGAGGCAGTTAGCAGCAACCAGTCTGGTGGGGGGTGTAGTTGGAGGTGACCAGGCAAGCAGGGGGGGGGGCAGTTGGGGGCAATTAGGTTGGCAAGGGGACAGTAAGTGGTGACTAGGCGAGTTAGGGGAGCAGTTGGGGGCAACCAAGCCAGCAGGGGTGGGGGCAATTAGGGGCAAACAGGCTGGCAGAGGGAGGCAGTTGGGGGCAACCAGGCCTGCAAGTGGGGCAGTAAGAGGCAACCAGGCCAGCTGCAGGGGGGGTGCAGTTAGCAGCAGCCAGGGAGGTGGGAGGGTGCAGTTGAGGGCTACCAGGCCAGCAGATGGAGCAGTTGGGGCGACATGGCCAGCAGTGGGGAAGGATGGACAGTTAGGGACAACCAAGCAGACAAGCAGGTGAGCAATTAGGAGCCAGCAGTCCAGGATTGTGAGGGATATCCAACTGCCAGTTTAGTATTGGGCCTAACTTGGCAGTTGGACATCCCCAAGGGGTCCCAGATTGGAGAGGGTGCAGTCTGGGCTTAGGGGAACCCCGCCACCCCCATGCACAAATTTCATGCACTGAGCCTCTAGTATACTCATATGTATAGCTCATGGACACAAGCAATAGTGTGGTGAGGAGCTCCAGGGGGACAGGGACTGAGAGGATGAGGTAAAGGGAGGTAAATGGGAGACATCTCTAATACTATAAGTGATAAAATATATATATATATATATATATATATATATATATAATATTTTTAATTTAAAGAACCAAATCCATCTAAGATATCGACACATGCATAGACCTTAAGTGCTCCACATTCA